TTATAGAGGGTGATCATCGCCGAGATCAACCCCCTCCAGGCAGAGATACTGTCGTGGGCTGCTGTCAAAGTCTGCGACGACCTGAAGCTACTCTGCATCACGATTTTCTGGGTCAGAAACAGCAGGCCTGAGCCATAAAGCTGTCGCAAATCATCAGAACCCAAAGTCAAGATCCGACGAAGTTTTCCATACCGTTCCAATTGTGGTGCTAACCGCAGTTACCAAGAATGATACCGTTGTCTGACGTTCCACCGGGAAGGTGATGTTATGTTCCCAGCCCTTCACCCCAATTATTAAAAGTGCGAGATTGACCAGAACCAACAAAATATGAAGGATGACGCTGGCCAGCTGCAGAGGATGTCTCCGGCGATGGGATGTCGTGTCTATAAGGGTCTTCAACGGTGGTTCAGAGTGATCTGGACAGAACCATTTAGTAAATATGGTGCAACATGAACAGGGCATGTTACCGATGTCGTTTGAGGTTAACAGGGATAGAGAAGAATTGTGTGAACTTGATTCAGTTGGGCTTTGCGGATCAGACTCGTCCATGTGGAATCTCGCTTGGCGCTGGTGTCTTCGTAGAGGGCGAAGGTACTCAATGACAGGTATGCCCCAAGGAACGAATGTGGGGATCTTATAACTGCGGGCAATGTATGGAATGAATAGTGATTCTGTAACCATGAGAGACGAGTACTACATGTTTGTCTTCCGTAAACTCGCTGTTCAGTCATGTGGACCGTGCGAGTATAATATACCCCCCCCCCCCCCCCCCCGAGGATGATCGTTATCACTGCGACACGCCGATACTTCTTAAAAAGAAGGCTTTACTCCCAGCATCACGACAATATGACGGCACTCTACGGCACTGATGTTTGATTCTCGCAAACACCTGTACAGCCATCTGTACAACCCTTCTATCTCGTCTAGTTAGTAGACTGCGCGCCGTGCCCGTCGTGCCGGTTTTACGGGTAGCCGTCCCATTCCGTCGGGGTTTTGATTTTGTTCTACGCAAGAGGGACAGGACGGTTTTCTGAGCTGACGGCCTGCGAAACAACGGCCGTCGACGGGCTAACAAGGTTCTCAGGATGTCAATGGATTTAAATTGGCTGGTGACATCTTCTTGAAGCGTTAATCTGTCAGTACCCCGACGTTCCGGTATGATCTATTGGGGACTGATCCGGTGTTTGACGAGAATGATAAGACTCAGGATAATAAATCTTCTCAGCTAGGTCCCCTTTCGGAAGTAGGCCGAGAGCACACTGAAACGAGCTGGAACGTACATATGCGCAGACGTTCTACTTGGTGTGATATCCGCCCATCTTTCTCATCATTTATTCAAACTCCGTCGGATCATTCCGAGATAAGATATGGAATTGAATAAGATATCACACGTAGAACGTCTGGGTTACCGCAGCATATCTAGAACTCTGACCTACTTCACTGCGTTCAGGGAGTGGATAGCCACAGCAGATTGCCGACTAGATGCCGGCTAGCCCACGTGCAGCTAGGGTAGCCGACGTGCAACTAGGACTGCCCATCATCTAGCATCAGGTAGCGGGAGCTGGCGAGGTTCGGCGGGTGGACTAGCTGAGGCCCTAGCTTGGCTTCTCCATATGCGTGACCTTAGTATTAGTTAAAGGGTGTATAGCTACTGTGACTTTTCCGCAGAAAGCTAAACGGTGCTAGCGCTGTTGTACTATGATTTTCTTTCCTTTTTTTTTGATGTTTGTTCATCTTTTTTCTTGGATTTTGTTTAATTGTGTCAACACTAGCACTGGTTGAGTTCTATGTGATGAAAAACTCCTCCTTCTGGAAGACTCCACACACTGAACAGGTCTTGGCTACTGGGAGCACTGAGCACACTTTGAGAGGGCGAGAAGGAATAACGAAGCGGCGCGAAAACCAGCTTCAAAAGGCTCTATCAAGGTCACACCTGCGTGGTAGCAATTCTGTTGCAGCTTTCAACGGACTACGATTAGTGAAGTGAGCATCCTTCAGTGGTAAGACTGGAAGTTTTGCATGAGCCAGTGACGATCATCAAAAAACGGGACAAACTACGCCGTAAGCGTGGCTCCGACGCGTGGAACAAGAATTCTTCCATTGTTCAAATGGTTAGGGAATAAAATAAAAACACCAAAAGATTTCGGCAAGCCCAAAGTTCAAATACGACTCCGAGTCTAACGGGGGTCGTGCGGGAACAATCATTAGATTAGAAGTAGCTTCGGGTCGTCATTAGCTTATGAACGAGCTCCTATGAACTACAGACTTCGGAGGAATGCGGGCGTGAAGATTGACGTGCCGTGATTTCGATTTGTATTGTTGGCATCTACAACCAGGGACACGAGGATTTCAAGACGAGGGCGAAGGCCATCAAGTGAGTTGAAGGCCTCCTCATGCTATCGGGTCATGGTCATCTATCAAATGAAAAAAACGAGTGCGATACTGGTGGTCAAACCGAAATGCGGACTCGGATGTCGTGGTGAAACTTGATCCTTTTTTTGGTGAAAGAATTGGTGGAGAGTCAGGCATCCGAGCAGATTTAAAAATCCGAATAAAAAGGCTTCCAGCTAAATCAAGATGATCATGAGCCGCGAGTATCATGTACCAAAGGTAATGAAGCTCGAACGAAAACTGTCGCAAGAACGAGCGATATGGCGCGGCGCCAATAATATGTTAAAGAGAGGCTCAAAAATATTATCGCAGCACCTGCAAATGCAACCAACCATCCGCAACGGGTGTCCTGCGGACCCAATACCATGAGCTGTTATGAGAGGCGGAGGCATCTACATGCTATCGCCGATCGGGTCGTAATCGATCTCGAATAAACCTAACTTCGAGAACCGAAATTCAGTCTTCAATATCCATCTCGAGTCCGCGTGTGATTGTTTCCTCGGAGCGGTGAGCCAAAGCCTTTGGTGAGTCGGGCATCCGAGAAAGACTATATCAATAGAACGGGACGCATCGGGCACAGTAAATATCGGCTTGCTGGTGCAGTAACGAAAGAACGGCGAGTCCAGGAACAGACAAAAGAGAACTAGCCCGGTAAGATGAACACCTGACAAGCGAGCATTATCAATGTGAGCCGGCTCGAGTTCCAAGCAAAGAAAGGCAAAAAAATCAGACAAGATCTCACATGACCCGACCCCGAGTCGAACGGGTGCCCTGCTCACAATGCTCGACTGTCAGCATCAGCCGCAAGTGCATCCTCATGCAATCAGGCCGTATCTATCCGAAAACGAGGCCGGATTATACCCCAGAATTCAAGGCAGCCTAGTCCAGTAAGAAGCAAGGGTCTACATAAACCAGAATGGCCGGCGTTTCAGCAACAAACACGTGGATGCACAAGCTATGAATGGATTCGAGTGCGGGTGGAATGACTAATCCGCTTTCCAGACATCGCAGATAAACCACCCGACCACCAACTTGGCGCCAGCCTTGAGAGTCTGAGAGTCTGAGCGCGGCGCGCTGCTTTCGAAAAACGAATGATCGTGGCCATCGGCCAGAGCTGGAAAACCCAGAACCGGAGGACGAAATATAACCCAGGATCTGAAGAGATAAAGCGGTAGACTGCGAGTTCGTGAAGAGTACATGGACGTCGGAAGAGGACTTGGTCCGGACCACTCGGGCCGTTTTTGATGTACACGTGTGCCGTGCATCGCCACTTTGCCTCTTCTCTTCTCTCCGAGTTTCTCGTCCGACGTTTCACGCAGGAACTTGGAACCGTTGCCCGCGCTCTTTGGTCCACCTGCGCCGCTGGCTTCAATTTAGGCGCCCTCGCAGGACGTCTGCGCGCGCATGCACTTTTATATCACTGACCAAGTCCAAAAACGTCTCCTGTTGATGATACTCTTTCGATCAGCGTACTCGGCCTTTCACCCGTGGTGCGTGTCATCTTTCCTCCCCGGAGTCGGTTGATAGTTGATGCGCTTGGCCTTCGTGCACCCTCTCTGACAATACGGTCTCAAGCATCACATCGGGTGTGCGTGCCTGTCCGTGCGCTGATGATACATTGTCCTCAGGCTAGGGTTACCCCTCGCCGTTTATACGCTAGCTCCGCTCGACGCATACTGTCTGCATAGATGGGTTGTGCCCTACTCTTGTGCGTGCCGTCCATTCTCACCGGTCCCGTGGCCCGGGCATCCCGCACCCGTCCGCTCACTGTACGCAGAGGCACCGCGTCCATGCTCTCCATGTACACAGGCGCGCGGGGCGCGTGGATTGATATGGCGGTGGATGCGCGTCCTGCCCGGAGGAGTGTGGGGCATTTCTGCTAGCCGTAGTCTTGTACGTCCGCGTCGCATGTATCTCCTCCTCGCTGACTCGTTCTTCAGACTGTGCCGACCTGCGTCCCTCATTCGTTCAACCTCCCCTTCGTCTTCTAGACGCACCGCCGCTTCCCGAATGACCTCCGGGACGCGACACTGAGTTAGCACCCACCGTCTCGTTTGCCGCGCGACATATTATTACTTACGTCCTCCTATATATGTCCTACCCATGCCCGGGGGCGCATTGGGGAGTTCCGCGCAACGAATGAGGTTACCGTTCGACGCTTCCCTACATTGAAGTCTATTTAAGTCTGGTAAGTGCAACGCCAACATCGTGATTGACCTTCATGATTCCCCGTACACCGTCACCGACTTACTCACACCCCAGTCTACAGCGTGTGAGTGATTGCGATCGCGTCTCTTGTAACTCAGTGCGTACCACTACTGATATGGCCCGGTGGCGGATGGTCCGCACCTGCACTTCATTTACCAACCGGGAAAAGTCGACTTTGCAGGAGGTGCTCGTTCGAATCGAGCCCGGGCCCTGATGAGGGCTCTAATCTGTTTTTGCGTGTGCTTTTTGTTTGTTTTGCTTTTAGTTTGGCATTTCATGAATCCTGTCTGATGTATGAGCTTCACAGATCACAGAAGAGCGCAATCGTTCCAGCCGAAGATTCTCTTCCTCGTTCGACTCCGCGAATGCTATCATATCCAAGTTCACCTCCAGCCATAAAAGGCCCGGTAGCGGATGGTCTGCGCCCGTGATTTATGTAAGGTCGTGCAACAAGTATTACGCGAGTCGCTCGTTCGATTCGAGCCCGGGCCATAGATGTAGAGGGCATATTATTATTTTACTCCTTTTATTCAAAGTTTCAAGTTTCCTCCTCTGTCCTCTGACCCGAATGCCGTCGTATTGAAGCTCACCTCCAGCTATAAAAGGCCCGGTCGCGGATGGTCCGCGCCCGTAACTCGTAACCACTTTCTCGAAGATAACCTGGTACGGGAGCCGCTCGTTCGACTCGAGTCCGGGCCCTAACTCTCGACGTGCATCTTTTTTTTCTTCACGCATCTAAGGGAACTGGGAAGTATATCAAGTTCCCAGGAGCGCGCAAAATTTGGTCTTTGGATTCTTCCTCCTCATTCAACTCCTCGAATGCTATCATATCCGAGTTCAGATCCCCCCAAGAAAGGTCCGGTAGCGGATGGTCTCACCGGGGGCAAAAAGCCACGCATGTGGCACCCACATGCTTAACACGCATGTGGGCTGCATGCTGGCGTGACCTGTCACAAAGGTGATTAGGCCCGGCGGTGTCCCGCCTGGCCTCGGGAACCCCAAACCGCAGAGAACCGATACGACGCGAGACTATAGACCGGAAAAGAGCACATATCTACTCCGATTAGCACCTTTGTGACAGGTCACGCCAGCATGCAGCCCACATGCGTGTTAAGCATGTGGGTGCCACATGCGTGGCTTTTTGCCCCTGGTGTCTGCACCTGCACCAGTTTCAACGGCGTCATTACCGTTGCAGGAGACTGCTCGTTCGAATCGAGCCCGGGCCATCCTTGTTTGCATCATTTTTGTTTGTTTTTGGCATTGATGAATGCGGCGGAATTGAGTTCGCAGCAGCCCGCAAAATTTCGATTTTACAATATATACTATCCTTTTCAACTTACAAGTACAGCCATCGTTTAGTGGTATGATTCATTTTGGCGAAACACCCTACTCCCATTCAACTCGGCGAATGCGGTCGTATCCGAGCTACATCAACCCAAGAAAGGCCCGGTCGCGGATGGTCTGCGCCCGTGATTCGTGTAGGTTGCGCAATCAATGTAACGGGAGTCGCTCGTTCGATTCGAGCCCGGGCCATGGATGGGGATAGCATATTATTATTTTACTCCTCCTTTGATTCATAGTTTCAAGTTTCCTCCTCTGTCCTCTGACCCGTTGTATTCAAGTTCGCCTCCAGCCATAAAAGGCCCGGTCGCGGATGGTACGCGCCTGCGAACAGTAGACGCAAAGCGTAGAATATCTTCTGCAGGACACCGCTCGTTCGATTCGAGCCCGGGCCATGTTTTGTGTAATCATACATTTTCTTTTTGCATCCGAACGTGCTTCTGAACGTTGTTGATATATTAAGCTCGCAAAATTCTGTGGTTCTAGACTACCTTCGAGTGTACAAATTCCTAGAGATTTCGACACTCATGCTAGACACTTGCCTAAGCTTCTAAAACACTTGCCGACATCGCTTCCACTTGATCCTCCTGATGAGGATTCCACATACCAGTTCTATCTCGATCCCCAAAATATTTGGGCCTACAACGATAACGGTGTCTCATGGAGGCAAGGGAATTTAACAGATGAAACCTTTAAAACTTTGTAGTTTAACGAGCATTTTTGCATTTTTTGACGGCCTTTGCGGGCGGAAAGAAATAGAAATTAAAACCTGTCTCAAGTGTAGCAACCGGCCCTCTGTTACACGTTACGAAGCAACATTTTATGTTGCTACCATACGAACCGGCACACTATCACTATCGCCAGATGCCGAGCGGAAGGCTAACAATGGCGCGTCACTCGGCGATGTAGTACACAATGAGCACGCAAATGATCCCCAACGCCCAGCCGATTTTCGGGACCCTGGGACCAGAAACTTTATTGGATGATGTTCTGTGAAAAGAAGAAGAATGCGGCGTACATAAGGCTCCCAGAGAACTCCCCGCCGGCCAGGCACGCGAGGGCGACAGAGAAAGCGAATGCCACGCCCCTGAACCGGCCCCAGCCGCCCTGCGTGGGATGTGAGAATTGGTGGGGAACGTATGGCACAAGCGAGGGATCCTTACCAACGAGCACTCTGCATCAACGGTCGTGAGCACGCTTTCACAGTTCGGCACGTTGATGCTGGTGTTGACCGTGTGCGCAGTGAAGTCGCCTGCAGTTCACATGTACAGTCAGTGGTGTACCCACTGGCAGGATGCAGATATATATATAGCGGCAAATTTCGCCTGTGTGCACGAGATCCAGGACATCTGAGTTTCGCACAGAGAATGAAGTGGAGAATCATAATGTGCGTCTGTGGGCGAGCCATCGTTCGTGATCACATGACTCGAACAATTCCTTCGGTGCATCTTGCGTGCATCGAAGCAAATGGTCACTAAAGATGGATGTTGAACTGTACCGTGACGTATTCGGTCCTGTGACTGTCGCACCAAGTTTTTGAGACTCAGATAGGCACAAAAATGCAAAAGAAATCTGCTCCGGCATTTGCCGGATTGCTATTTATGGAGATTTCGATGTGGTCGAACATGTTGGAAATTTTGTGAAAAATGAACATCTTAAGTTATGGCGACATGCCTTGAAACTAAGATGGAAATAGTACAGTTGGCTTATTTACATTCTTAAGTTCTCGCGTGCGAGTACAAATTGTCCATTACTTAATAATCTTCGACGAAAACGACGACACTGTAGAGCTGGGAATCCATTAGCACAATCTCCAAAAAGCAGCAAAACCTTACATACCGGCTTGCCACTCTCCGTGTGGGGATCTTCACGAGGATCTCTCTCCACAGTGATCTTGATCTTGCCGGTCTTTGACTGCGCAGGGACGGCGAAGCGGTACGGCTCGTCCCAGCCCTTGCCCGACTCGAGCCAGAACGGAGGGCCGGGCTCCGTCTTTCCGTATGGGTTGACCGCATCCGCGTACTGGTATAACGTCTTCGGGCGACCACCGCTGGGAGTGTAGCCGTTCAACTGAACGCCCCAGACGCGAGCGGCCGAAGGCGAATAGTAAATGTGGCCAACGGAGGTCTCATCGGAGACCTTGCCGGCGAGGGAGTTCCACGCGAGGCATGTCTCTCCGCCCGGAGCCAGTTCTTTGGACGGGAAGCTGGTCGTCTTGGCACCGCCGCCCACGTCGGCGGCGTGGAAGAGCGTGAATGACGCCGAAGAGGAGTTCTTCACGGTTATGGAGTAGTCAGAATTGTCGACAACAGACATCTCGAAGGACAGTCAGCGACGGTGGGAAATGTGAAGCGCAGCTGGGGTTTACCTTTCGTATCCGACCAAGCTTGAGAGGATAGAGTCCTTCGTATCAAGATCCCATCTCTTATATGCAACGGCATTCTAGTATGGCTAAGACAGGAAGAACGTTTGGGCTCCTCTGCACGAAGGCCGTGAGAGTCGGTACCTTGCTTGACTCATTCAGAAGCGTAGATGAATGTTCGAGGGCTTCGAGTGACAGGTTGTATGACAAGATGCACGGACGATAGGCGAACGATAAGGATAAGGATCTGGCCAAAGATGACGTGGTAATTGAATGGATCCACTTCGTTGACCCCGTTTCCTTCGGCAACAGGACACGACCACTCATTTTGCCTGTCATTCTTGGAGACCTTGTTCAGTTCTTGTCCCATGTCATGACGACTTGTAATGGATGTTGGAATTCAAACCGTACAATCCAGTATTAGCAGGGAACCCGTTGCAAACGCGCGGGGAATTCATTCGCAAACTATAAGATAATTATACTAGAACTCGTCAGGAACTAATTAAACTAAGTAAGGCAAATTAAACCAAGTGACAAGTATTTTACCAAAAGGAGAGAAGGAATGAACGGCGGGGACCTGGTAACAAGGTGCGCCACGGGGGCAGTGCGCGCGCATGCAACTTGTTTTCCAACAATAGAAGGTTCACAGCCTTGGAAATCGTGCTTTCAGATGGGTCGCTCCTCCTGCCAAGCATCAAGTTCAGATTCGTCGAAGGCATTGCTCAAACGGGGTATAAAGGCTGAATTCCTGTGGCCAAAACTGCAACCAACCGCTTTTACCATCTGCTACAGTTCGTCCTTCGTCACTCGCCAATCTCGTGCTCACTTGCCTATAGATGCCTGAAATCATGGCTGACTATATCCTCACCATCGACAACCAGTCCTCGGTCGAGCTCAACTGGTACGCGAACGGTATCACGGGCGGGAACCCTCACACCGTTCACTTGCCCGCCGGCAACATCGCTCCGGGAAAGTCGGACTACTTGGCCTGGGACACTCGCGACGGGAAGATCCCCAAGACGCAAAGGACTTTTGGCGAGATGTGGTTCTACGTCGACAAGAACAAGTGGCCTGCGGCTGTCGGTGCCGTGGGTATGTACGGGTACGACAAGAGCGGTGCCAGGCCTTGCACGGCATACGTGCTTGGTGCGGGCGCTTCGTCTTCCCTCGCCGTGGGCCAAAACACTATCAAGGACGAGAAAGAGATTGAGGCGAACTGGGACCCAGCGAACTACGACCCATGGATTGAGTCCGGGGTGACTTGGGAGCAGACTTATGAGTACGTCCTGCCCATGCCGGCGGGCAAGGTCAAAGTCATCGTAGCCAAAGACCCTCGTGAAGGACCGGTAAGCAGCCGGTCGCTTTTTGCACATCGGTGGCGCTGACTCGCGGTTGCAGATGTACAGTGTTCTCGTTACGTTCAAGGATTACTCCAATTAAAAAAAAGGGCATCTGTATATAGTATGCAGTCGAAGAATCTTGTTTTGGATGGAGAATCGAATGCGTCGTAGCTCAATCTATTTACGATTCAGAAGAGACGCGTGTAATTATGGCTCTGCATCAGCCACTTTACAAATAGCTTGTGAGCTTTGGACCTTTTTTGACCTTGCGAGCTCGTCAAAAAAAAAAAAGATTCCCGCTAAAAATGCAGAACATAACCGGGACTAGTGTTGCCGCGGCTCGAAAAGTCGAAAAGTCGCTTCACGACTTGCGAAGTCGACTTAAAATGGTGTTCGACTCGAGTCGGTGAAGTCGGCACATTTTTGAGACATTCTCATATTAATAGAAAGAAAATAAGGTGCTCTTCATATCGTCTGTAACTATATAGTGGCAGTGGCATATTTAAGATGGGCACCTGATAAGCGAGCATTCTAAATGTGAGCCGGCTCGAGTTCCAAGCAAAGAAAGGCAAAAAAAAATCAGGAAATCTCCCATGACCCGAGCCCGAGTCGAACGGGTGCCCTGCTCACAACGCTCGAGTGTCCGTGACCATCGGCCAGAGCCGGAAAACAGAGCCGGACGACGAAATATAACCCAGGATCTGAGGAGAGAAAGCGGCAGACTACATGCGAGTTCGTGAAGAGTACATGGACGTCGGAAGAAGAGAGGGTCCGGACTTGGTCCGGGCCACTCGGGCCGTTTTTTGATGTGCACGTGCGCCGCGCATCGCCACTTTGGCTCTTTGTCGTCCGACTTTTCACGCAAGAACTCGGAACTGTTCCCCTTTATTTCTGCGCTCTTTAGTCCACCTGCGCCACTGGCTTCAATTTGGGCGCCCTCGGAGGACATCCGCGCCCGCATGCCACACGACTCCTCTTTCGATCAACGTGCTCGGCCTTCCGCTGGCCCAGTGATCGCCCAAGGCCTAAGGCCTTAAAACTCCAAGGCCTTAACAAGGCCTTGGTCAAGGCCTTGACGATTTTCGGCCGCAGTTCCGCCTTGGCCAAGCCTTAGAGCATCACGTGTATATCATTATGTCATTCTATTTTTACCATCTTTTCTTCTGCGTCGACGATGGCATCCAGTGTTCTCTTCTTCACTGCACATCCTGCTACATTGCCGCTACAGCTGTCCCACTGTATTGTTCCCTTCATCATTCCGCCGGTGCTGTCCTCTTTGGAATTTTTTCCTATTCATCTCCGTGCCCAAACCTGACTCAATCGCACAATTTCTTCGCGCACGCAAGCCATCTGCACGGGTCATGGAAGAGAAAGAGATCTTGGTGCAGGCACTGGCTGACGAAGAGGAGGATGCGCGTCCAGACGAAGGTGCCATTGAGATTGACTCGGATGAGGAATATCAGTAGATTTAAAGCTTACAGCTGTTTCCGAAAACCTTGAGACAACGTGATTTTTTTGCTCCTTCGAAACTTTTGATGGGCATGCTAAGGATTACCTTTTTTGCATGGGCTGGTCCAGACCCGTCCCAATTAGGAGTGAGCTCCGTCCCTGGCACATGGAATGACGGCCATGCTGTTAGAGGCTGTGGGAATTGAATGGCTGGCTTATAGGATGCCCTAGGAGAGCGATGAGTATTATTAATATTCCAGGATATAAAAGACGCACCGAAGGCCTCTACTTCTAGCTCGCTCAAGCCCGATGGACTGACAGAACGCAATGGCCCTATCAGACTGCTGGGGCTGCTGGATAGATCAACTGTCTCGCGGCGGGAGTAGTACTGGGGTGGATGATCATAGAGCGGCGGGGGGCTACGCGCAGGAGGAAGGCGGGGGGACGACATAGAGAATGGAAGCAAAAAAAATGGCGGAGATCACTCCCAATTAGGACGGGTCTGGACCAGCTCATCCGAAAAAGGTAATCCTTAGCATGCCCATCAAAAGTTTCGACGGAGCAAAAAAACCACGTTGTCTCAAGGTTTTCGGAAACAGCTGTAAATTTATTGTTTTTGATACCGCCTGGATGCGTGGGAAAAAATCAGCCAAGGCCTTGGAGGCGCCCTTGGCCAAGGCCTTACCCTTAACCAAGGCCTTGGAGATCCTGAGACCTCCACCCAAGGCCTTATGGGCGGTCACTGCGCTGGCCTCCTTCAGACGTCGAGGTTTTTCACATCCTCCCGTACTCGGTTGATAGTTGATGTGCTGCTCCTCACCCTCCCTGAAAATGCGGCCCCAAGCGTCATCGATGGCCGCGTCCCACTCTCGTCGCGTCGGGTGTGCGTGCCCATCCGTGCGCTGATGATACATTGTCCTCAGACGAGGGTTATTCCTCGCCATTTATACGCTGACTCCACTCGACGCATACTGTCTGTATAGATGGCTTGTGCCCTGCTCCTGTGCGTGCCGTCCATTCTCACCGGTCCCGTGGCCCGGGCATCCTGCACCCGTCCGCTCAGTGTACATAGAGGCACCGCGCACGGCGCCCGTGGATGGATATGGCGGTGGATGCGCGTCCAGCCCGGAGGAGTGTGGACCATTTCTGCTACCCGCAGCCTTGTACGTCCGCGTCGCATGTATCTCCTCCTCGCTGACTCGCGCTGCAGACTGCGCCGACCCACGTACCTCATTCGTTCAACCTCCCCTTCGTCTTCTAGACGCGCTGTGGATAAGAATGCGTGCCTGCCGTGCACGGCTTCCTTCGCCATCTCCGTACCGCGTCTCTGCATCTCCGTACCGTGTCGCGTTCGTGAATCCAGTAGGCGTGCTGGGATCGGAGTCCGCGTAATGAGGAGCTCTGACGCCGACGTTGGCTGGACTGGGACTACTTCCCCCGCAGCGCACGCCGTTTGAACATGGCGCGCGCATTCGCATGCGGCGCGCATGTCTTGCGCTCGGACTCCGTGCACACACTCCGAACTCTGCTGCCAGTGGGGCATTTACACCGCCGCGGCGCGCATCCTGTCTTAGTGTCTCAGTGCGTGTCTTGTGTGCGCGCTCTCTGCGAGGCCGGCGTCTCCTGTGCACGCGTGCGTATCCAGCTTCTATGTGTTCTTATTCTTTTGCTCGCAGCCGGGGAGTCTGCTAGGTATTCCTTGGACTGGATCTGGGGTACATCGCGTCGACATGTTTCGCTGATCGGGTGGCCTGCGGCTGTTCTGCTGAATTATTCACGTCACTGATTATATTCAATAATAAAGCCACGGGATACGGTATAGTATATCTAGATGTCCCTCTGCTGTATAAGCCACCTCAGTCTTGATGCACATGTTTTGCGGGATGCTGGAGTAGTACAAGGCGCTCGCATGGAGGTAGACATGAATAATGCATGGTGATATTCGGCCCAGGAGCGTTACCAACTAACTAAAGGAGTTTTCGCCGCAATGACAGTAGCGCGCGCAGTGGAAATTCGGTGCAACAAAAAAAAGCCAAAGAAAATCAAAGAAGACACCTTATCGCCCGGTCCCATTCAACTCGTATCCGAGTTCACATCGACCCAAGAAAGACCCGGTCGCGGATGGTCTGCGCCCGTGATTCATGTGGGGTTTGTACAGCAAATGTTACGGGAGTCGCTCGTTCGATTCGAGCCCGGGCCATGGATATGGATAGAGCATATTATCATTTTACTCCTCCTTTGATTCAAGGTTTCAAGTTTCCTCCTCTGTCCTCTGACGCGAATGCCGTCGTATCCAAGTTCGCCTCCAGCCATAAAAGGCCCGGTCGCGGATGGTCCGCGCCCGTAATTCGTAACCACTTTCTCGAAGATAACCTAGTGCAGGAGCCGCTCGTTCGAATCGAGCTCGGGCCCTAGTTCAGGACGTCTGACTTTTTTTCTTTCACTCATCCAAGGGAACTTGAAAGTATATTAAGCTCCCAGCAGCGCGCGAAATTTGGTCTTTGGATTCTTCCTCCTCATTTAACTCCCTCGAATGCTATCATATCCGAGTTCAGATGTCCCCAAGAAAGGTCCGGTAGCGGATGGTCCGCCCCTGCACTACACCACCATTTGGGCAAGTTGTCAGTAAGAGACTGATTGCCGGATATCAGCCGGCGTCCAGTTGTTGTGTCACGGAGATCGGACCAGCATCTCAGTGATCTCGGCTTGGAGTGATTAGAACGAGAATCTAACGAGACCCAGACCACGCCTGAATGACATCTGGGGGATCTCTGGCTTGAGGTCCTCGCCATCCCATCCTCCATCCACCTCAAAAAGGAACGTCTCACTGAAAAATCAATAGTAAATGGTCAATATAAGAATTGAGACACATGTAGAGACTTAACAGCACCTAACTTCATACAGAATTGGTTGCATGAAGCCAATGTTCAGACGGGAAATCAAAACACAAAATGTCGTACGATTTCCGCTTAATTCTTCTTCTTCCCGCTCCCTCACGCGCCGCAATGACCTCCATTGCCTCAGCTCCCAAGAGTCTCCTTAATCTGCTCCATGCCGTCTCCCTACCTTCCCTCGACAGCTTCAGGCCTCCAAGCCAAGTAGGCTCAAGTCCTGCAATTCTGCCACGTCATCAAAAGTCTCGCCATTGTCACTGGCGCCCTCTTCTCCTTGTTTTTATCGCCATGCCCTGGAATGGACCTCAAGGGCTGCCCTCAAGCTACCCTCAATTCTCCACATCAAGTGCTCAACTCCCAAGTCCGCAACTTGGCTGCAACTGTCGTTTGGGCTCCTCAAGTCCGAGACCCGCCTGCTCAAATTTCATCAAGCTCCTCTGGTCTTCTCTTCTTGTCTTTGGCAGGTTCTTTCCTTTGCATGGCTTGGCCTGTGGACCCAGTACAATTTTTGCACCCATATGTAACTGCCTGGGAACACGTCGTAGCTCATATATGTGTAATGTAGTATCGGAATCTCTCAGAATACAGTCATTTTGCATACAACAATGTCCGGGGTGGAAATTATTAGTGGCCATTATTATATGGAATCTGGGCCAGGCTGGCAGGAAAGACTGGAGATCCTCGCAGATATCCTAAATACATCACAGGAGATGTCGCTGTAAGACCGGTCTCAGAGGACTCGCAGGGGATAGTCGTTTTTTACATCAGGGCGAGATCCCGGCTGATATCCGGCGCCCTAAAGCCGATTATGGCAGGTGGGATCTCAGCCTGATGTCGGCATTAAATGGCGGTGTAGTTATCACGGCGTCATTCTCGCTGCAGGAGACCGCTCGTTCGAATCGAGCCCGGGCCATGCCGTGTGTTCGGTAGCATTTTTAATTCATTTTTATTTTTTTGGCATTGATGAATGCGGCGGAATTGAGTTCGCAGCAGCGCGCAAAATTTCGATTTTATATCCTATCCTTCTCAACTTACAAGTACAGCCATCGTTTAGTGGTATGATTCATTTTGGCGAAACACCTTACTCCCATTCAACTCGGCGAATGCGGTCGTATCCAAGTTCACATCAGCCCAAGAAAGGCCCGGTCGCGGATGGTCTGCACCCGTGAATCATGAGGGTTGTGTAACACATGTTACGGGAGTCGCTCGTTCGATTCGAGCCCGGGCCATGGATGGGGATAGCATATTATTATTTTACTCCTCCTTTGATTCATAGTTTCAAGTTTCCTCCTCTGTCCTGACCCGTTGTATTCAAGTTCACCTCCAGCCATAAAAGGCCCGGTCGCGGATGGTCCGCGCCTGCGAGCAGTAGACGCACAGCGTGGAATATCTTCTGCAGGACACCGCTCGTTCGATTCGAGCCCGGGCCATGTTTTGTTTAATCACAGATTTTCTTTTTGCATCCGAACGTGCTTCTGAACGTTGATATATTAAGCTCGCAAAATTCTGTGGTTGTGGACTTCCTTCGAGTACACAAATTGTTGGTTGAAATAGAACTCCTCGTTTGACTCCAGAATTTCCTCCTCGCTCGACTCGGCAAATGCTATCGTATCCGAGTTCCCTCGTGATCGAGCGACGTTGAATTCACTTGTAAATATTGGTCTTCTCTCTCGCTACATCTCAGTGAAGTTCACAGATCCCACGATATGGCCCAGTAGCGGATGGTCCGCATCCGCGATTCGTGGCAGCTCTACACTTAGTAGTAAATTCTACGGTAACCGTGTGCCATATCATTTCGTTTTACATCCGCGGACGGGAACTTGAATGCTGTACCAACTTCGTAGAAGCGGCAAACATTATACCCTATCTTTCGAGCGCACACTCGGTTGGGATGGTCTGTCAGAACTTCAACCCGAGCCCAAATGCCGGTGTATCCCAGTTCATATCCACCGAAGAAAGACCCGGTCGCGGATGGTCCGCGCCCGTGATTCGTACAAAAATGTTCTCGTATATACGGGAGACGCTCGTTCGATTCGAGCCCGGGCCATGAGTTGTCTGTTTGCGGTCCTTTTTGTTTGTTTTTCGGCCTTCATGAATGTTGATGTATCAAGTTCGTAGAAGCGGCAAGATTTCGAGTTTATATTCTATCCTTCTCAACTTACAAGTACACCCATCGTTTGGCGGTATGATTCATTTTAACGGAACACTTTCCTCCTCGTTCGACTCGGCGAATACTGTCGTATCCGAGTTCAAATCCACTAAAATATGGCCCGGTCGCGGATATATATGCATCTGCTAGAAGGTAATTCTATGTACGGGAATCGCTCGAGCCCGGGCCATTCTTTGGAGTCGGATTTTCTTTTTGCCGCGTCGTCACCCAGAACATTCGACATCTGCTATACAGTTTACGATTTTAAGGTCCCGGACATGGCATTTATCTCTCTGGAAGATCAACCATAGTCGCTAGGCTTAATTGTCCGGACATCAGACGGAATTGTGTTTCATCTTTTTTTTTTGGGTTGTGCGCCCATTTCCCAGGAAGTACTCGCCTTTTTGAAGTTTACAGGTACCAAAATAAAGCCCGGTCGCGGATGATCTGGTCGGTAAAGACAGTGATACAATACTTTCTGCAAGAGATCGCTCGTATTCTTGCTTGGGAGAGGCTTTTTGTCACGCCGTCGCCAGGGCCTTGCCGATTCAGAGGCCGTGAGAACCTTTTGCATTCCCACCATCATGATTCATAATGAACAACGGCACTTGGAAGTGATTATTGTCTTCTCTCGTGGCCATAGATCCAAATGACCTACCCAAAAAGGCATTGATACTTCTTATTGGTTCTGAGGACACATCATTCCTCTCACAACGCATCACAAAGACCATTCCATCTCACGAAGTGCACTCAAAGGTAGTTCGAACAGCGCATTTCTGTAGCTAAAGGGCGTCTTCGCTCGGAGTAATACCACGATTTTCGGTTTTGATCTGTCCGCTCTTGAAACCATCTACTTTGGCAATGCCCTCCCGGAGGTGGAGGAGGCCTCCGCCGTGGGTGTACTGCAGAGGATATTCCTGGTGCGGTCGAGGGTTCCAGGAGTCCAGTTTCTGCAACAGGGTTCGCAGACGGTTGAGGATATCAGCAGGAGCATCTATAGTCGTTTGCAATTCTCTGAGATAATCTCTGAAAATCTCTTTGATTTGGTTCCGAGCGGCAGGATCATCTAGCCATGGAAGCCATGTTACCCCATGGGGGCCTCGGGGTTGTGGTAAGGGTGGTAGATGTCCCATAGCGAAGGAGGAGTCGATGTACAATGCATCCAGAACACGCACACCGGTTTCCACCCCTATACTATGAAGAGAAGCCAGATTCCATAACGCAGTAAGCATAGCTCGTGTGGCCGGTGAGTCCGAGATTGGATTTTGAAAGGTGAGAGTTGAAAAAAAGCTGGACCATAGATGGGAGACGAGCATGTCCCCAAATTCATCATCGGGCGAGTGGAAATCAAAGTCAGGCGAGTGGTTCAACAACTGGATGATAGCATTGGGAATGTCGGCGGGTTCCTCGGCGCACCAGAAACGCAGCAATGCCAACACAATGCTTTTATCAATCCAGGGCTTTTTCCTGACGTCGGACGCAGTGACTGATCCTTCTTGCCAGGTATTTATGACGATTTCGAGGCATTCCTCAAATCCGTGTCCGATGCAACAGACTTCTTCAGGATTAGACCAATCCGAAACGAGAGACAATGTTCGTTCCCATTGGTACGGAGGGGGACTCAAGCAGGCCGACTGGGTAAGGTAGTTGAACAGGATCTCGGAAGGAAGACCAGAGAGCCTGTCGAACATCCTCTGATAGCGTTGGAGTATGGGTTCCGGATCCTGGATGTGGAACTGATGTGGAGTGAATATTAATGCCCGATACATGTTTTCCAAGGGTTTCAGTTGGCTCCAATCTGGCTTGTTGATATCAAAAATCGACAGAGCTTTCTGTGTCGCGGACATGGTCGAACTCCCACCCAGGGCACAGAACATGCTCCAACACATCACAGCCTTGGCAGAGTTGAAGTAGGGGGTAATCTCAGGAGTTGATGCGGACCGCCTGAATTCATTGGACCAACATACACGGGAGAAGTCCACAGTGGCATTGGGCCCAGTAAAGGATTCAGCGGGATTGAACGCGAGACTGGCAATGGCCCAGAAAGCATTGTAGCAGGAAATGAGACGGCGTTTACTGTCATCTGCAGACAGGAGACCTGTGTGGCAGCTATCCAAGAGAGCTGTGATACGGTTATCCAAGCGAATATCGGGATCGTGCACCAGACGTAGGATGTGCTCGCTGTATCCGCGGCGCATGCCATCAGGTCCCCACAAGAGATCAGGAATCGCTTCCACGAACGGCTCTAGTTCAACTTCATCGGCCAAGGACTTCATAGTCCACACTAGAGCTCGGTAATCTCTCTTGGATCGCCTGTGGGGATCCAGGGCAGCCCGAAAAATGGCTTCGACCATGGTGTCGTTTTCGGGTGGAGAGAAATGTCCTTGGTGCTCCAACCACCCGCCGAGGGTATGGGGATCAGAATCAGAGCTACGCCAAATCGGTCTGAGAGTGTTCAAAACCCGCGACACGGCTTGTGGCCAGATCCTCTTGAAAGTTTTCAGGACCTGCCAAGAAGTACCCGAAAGCGGTGTGCGGTACGGACAGTCCAGATACCGCAAGGGAAGTAGGGTTAGGATGGAATATACCGCTGCGACAATTAAAAGAAGGGCGGTGGCGATGGCGGTCATGGTGACATTTACAGGAATTAGGAATGCGACGAGGCCACCGAAGAAGAAGAGCAGAGATGCGTGGAGTAAAAGCGGGATTATCTCCACGACTGTGTGCATGTGGAATTGTTAGCGTACATTATTCATCTTGATGTTGTTCAGGCATGGATGATTTAATGCCCACAAAAGTGAATACACCAGGCTTCGAGTTACACTCACCGTGGATGTTGACAAAAAAAACCTGCAAAGGGAGCGGTTAATGGCCCAGGCTCGAATCGAACGAGCGATCTCCCGCACGACTAGTACTGATCATGGCTACAAAGTGCGAGTGCAGACCATCCGCTACCGGGCAGTATATATGCTTGTGACTGGAAATATATCAGCATCGAATTGGGCGGAAGTTCGGGACAAAATAGGTTGATGCGATAAGACTCAGTCAGCACGACAGGAAAAAAGGTGAGTACTGGTAGAAAGCATACATTTAAAGCCATGTGAGATCCTTGTTGTTGTGTTGCCCAGACGCGGAACTGACCCCCGATTCTACGCCTATGAAATGAATAAGCCGGGCTTCTAAGCGCACTCACCAAAAATGGTTTCCCAAGGGGCGGATCACGGCTCAGGCTCGAATCGAACGAGCGCCTCCTGCAGGATATGAGTGGACGCATCCAGAGCATTGAGTGCAGGCGCGGATCATCCGCTACCAGGCCATATTCTGAGAGTTATGAGCTTCATCAAACACAGAATCTCCTGGGAAATGGACGCACATTGTAGGAGACCACAAACGTTGAATACACCAATGAGGATTGGGATTTGCCTGGATGGGGGGGGGATGACATACAATTAACAGCCGTCATAAAAGCCCTGTTGTGCAGGCACGGATGATTGAATGCCTCCGAATTGAATAAGCCAGCACTCACCGATAGACCTTTACAGAAAGAAAAAAAACAACTTTTCACCGGAACGATGGCCTAGGCTCGAATCGAACGAGCGCCTCCTACAGGATATGCGGGTGCAGGTGCGGACCATCCGCTACCGGGCCTTGTTGGGGGACTTGAGAAGGTGAATGCATCGATGAGAAAATATCAATGAGCTAGGATTTGAAGTACACTCACCAATGGCTATTCTTTCAAAAAAAGCAGATATTGACTAATGCATGGCCCAGGCCCGAATCGAACGAGCGAATTCCCGCACGACTGCTCATCAAGGATGTATTGCTACAGAGTGCGAGTGCGGACCATCCGCTACCGGGCGTTCAGTGTATACCTGTGACTGGAAATATATTAGTATCGATTCGAGCGGAATTTCGGTACAGAATAGGTTGATAATAGGATTCAGTCAGCACGACGGGAAAAAACAGTGGGTGGAAAGCGTACGATGGATAGCCGTCATGAGAGGCTTGATGCTGTGCTGTCCAGGTGCAGCCGTGAGCCTTCTGCGAAGATTGAATAAATCAGGATTCATTGGATGTTGACAAAAAAAATCTTCGAAGGGGTGGTATGGCCCAGGCTCGAATCGAACGAGCGCCTTCTGCCGGATATGCGTACGGGTTCACGCTATTGAGTGCAGGTGCGGACCATCCGCTACCGGGCCATTAGTATATATCTGTAAATAGCAATATGTGAGTATCGAATTCAGCGGAATTTCGAGGTATAAGAAGTAAGTATAGGATTTAAGATTCGGTCAGAAATGGTGACGAATACGATATCTTTTGGCCATGCACCTTCGATTCCCACAGGGATGAATCACTACGAACTACAACGTCCAGGAGTCCTTGGGTGCTAGACAGGCGAATCAGCATTTCCCTCCGCTCGGAAAAAAAGAGTCAAAAAAAAATTATCGCCCGGGCCCGAATCAAACGAGCGGACCTGTATTCATGGTGAATATGGGTTTTCAACAGACATGGCAGGTGCGGAACCATCCGCTACCGGGCGTTGTTTTATATGCCTGTGAACTTGATCAGGATAGAGCGGATAGTGAAACGGAACGAGCGATTAGGGCGCCTGGGTGGCAGCGTCAAATCAGGCAGCAGGCGCACGCGCGTGAAAACCGACTTCCTGAGATTTGCTACTCACTACACAGCGATTGGGGGACACGGACGACGGTAATGATGGACGCGAGAAAGAGAGCTGCGGATGACCAAGCCGGCATGATCCGTAACCTTAACCCCAGCCCACCCTTTTGCTTGTCGGGCCGCCACCAAAAGCGGAAAAAGCTCGGAAGGGGCTCTCAACACACTTGCAAGGGTCTCCAGGCCTCACGAGAGGGACCTAGGCCTGTGAACGCGTTCCGTGGGAGTTCAAAGGGCCTTTAAAAAGTTCCGAGGCCTCGCGAGGGTATCCCAGGCTGGCGGAGCTCGCTAGGCCTGGGTGTCCTCGCAAGGGTACTCGAGGCCTCTGATCCCATTCCATGTATCTCAGGCCAATTCAAATATAATCATGAAACAAATTCAATTTGAAGTCGCGATGGTACAAAAAATAATCTAAAGCTACAGCATGCGGCTAAGAAGAAAATATGTCAGGAATGTCAAATGGTTTGCGAGCAGCGGCCGACTTACATTGATTATGCAGTGAAACAGACGAGTCTGTAAAAGAGGTGTAGTTAGTAACGGCACCAAAAATGAATGTGTTGGCGTACGTGCGGCAGTCGGTATCTAATAAGCCTGGTTGGCGCAGGGTCAGCAACTGGGAGAATGAGGGCGAAAAACAGCACCTACGAGTGGCAAAATACATGAAGCAAGCGCGTGTCTATGTAAACAAAACAGTTAAAGAAACGAAAGCAATACAGGTGAAAATAACTCACGGATACAATTTGGAGCGAGGGTCGGGTCACCAAAATGGGTGTGTTGGCTGACATGCATCAATATCTAGCAGCCTGCATGGCACAGTGTCAGCACCTAGGAGAATGAGGCCGAAAGAAGCGCTTACGATTGAAGAAATAAAATGACGGCAAGTGCATATCTGTGAACACGAGAGTTAGACAAAAAAAAAGACAAATAGTCAAGAAAACTCACGGGTACAACTTAGAAGCGGATCTAAAGGCTGAAGAAAATGTGAGCTAGCGTGGATTGGGAGGTTTACTCATACCTTGAAGTCGAAAGGATGTCAGGTCTATATTCCCCGAACCGAAGTCAGAAGCTGTGGAACACGATGGTAATTGACGTACCAAGAGGGAAGGATTAAACTGTATTGTGATGCATAAGTCGCAAAGCCTACTCAAAGTGAAAGAACTTACCTAAGACGGGATACGCGCTGAAGGAGAACGGTGGAGGACGAGCTGGAGGTGGGCTCTAACGCGAGCTGCGAGTCGTCCGTGCCACCATCGAAGACCATCCTGCCAAAGTTTGATGAGCTGGAATTCCCGGCGATGATGGACATTACTTTTCATACCACGCAATCACCCAAGGATCTTCGGGGGCTTGACGATAGAAGTGAACAGGGTCTCGCAGTCGAAGGAACCGTCACGAGCTCGAGGCTTCCACTCCGCCGTAGAGAGCATCGTGCGGCCTATCAAAGGGGAATAATGATCCATTTCAAGTTGATCAAGTGATACATACCTGGGCACCAGTATCGCCTAACATTTCGGGGACGACGACGACGGCACCGTGCACGCGTCCGCTACAAACGGCGGGAAGACCACACAAGGCAGACTTCGGCGCCGTCCAAAGGTGACGGAATACCTGTGGAAGGTCGAGCACAACGAAGAGAAATGAACAAGAAGCTCTCACCCGCAGCATGAATCCACCGCGTAGAAGCCCTGGTCCAGATCGTCGGGGTCGAAGGAGCCCTCTGGGTAGAAGTCCGAGGGGAAATCTTCGGCCGTAAGCTCGAGGCTGTTCGCAACAATCCGGTCGAGAAGTCTGAAGAGCAAAGGCTATAAAGTTAGGTGAGTTGAGTCATATATAAACACTTACTCATTGCGAGCTATTGGCGCCGTTGGCTCCGTCGAGTCCGCACGGGGAACTATCTTGCTCGGCAGGGTTGAGATTTAAAAAAAAATCAGAATATATGCGCGTTAATTGAAACAAAAACGCACGGCATCACAAGCGGTGGAAGCTGGAGGCGGTCCTCCCAGTGGAAAAGAGGGTGGGTAAGCCCCAGTCAGACTTGCTCTCTTGGTTAGGTATTAAAGGCACCAGGACGTGTTTAAAAGGATTGGGGAGAGGGACGGCGGCGAGGTGCCCCAGTGGTATTCCGGGCCATACGGCATCGGCTTGCTGATGTCGATGAAAGGCTGCACGGCGGCTACGGCGCGCACGAAAAATTCCCGATGGTGATGAGCCTCTCCTCGGTAATCGATACAGCGCTGTCCGACATGAGGACATGAGGATGGGAAAGGTTGCAGGGTAAGCAACGCACCTGAGAGCGTGTTTGTGGCGTTTCGTTTGGGCTTGCCCTGCGACAGACGACGATGTCGTCGTATTTCCGGAGCATTCCGCTTGAGGGCCGAGGGCGGGGAGCTTGGTGGAAGTAGAGACCGTGGGGTTAGAGGCGGGGCCGAAAGGCGGGCAAATGGAAGGGGCGTTGGAGGTCATGCTGATGGGAGGAATGAAGTGATGCGCATAGGGCGCTGGATTTTTAAAGGCCGGCCGCGTCACTTGTCACGGCGCACGTGATCTGTCACGGACGCGTCGAATTCTCTTCCTCGGCCATAACTTGGCGCGACAGGTCTTCAAAAAAATCCTGGAAGATACCAATAAATTATTCAACTCGAAGGACATCCATTCCTGCCTCGTGAACGACTTCTTTATTATTTTCCTTGCACTGGCATCCCTTAATTTCCTCCTCGTTTTCTGTATCCGCACCGTCGAGCTCATCTTCCAGCTCAGAAGCCTCCCATTCCAGCTTGTCGTCCTCCAGTTCCTCAGTAGGATCATCCGGCTCTGGTGCTTGTTCTTCATTCGTGAAGCCTTCCAGATGTTTTGTTTCAAAATCTTCATGTAAGATATTGTTGAAGAGGGCGTCCAGTTCCGGACTTGAGAGATTGGATCCTGTGTAAGACCAGGCCATCAGTCGAGCGGCTGTGAAATTCAAGTTGAAAAGGAAAACAAGGAGGGCAGTCGGCAGTCGACGGCGCAACGGCGGACATGGGCGTAAGCAAGTCCGATGAGCGGTAAAGATCATCGAGAAAAAATTGTGACGATTCGGGAATCGCTTGTGAAGAGCGTGCGCGTTGGACTCTGTTCTACCCAGGTTCGTACCGGGATTTTCGGACGGTCGGTTATAGGAACCTCGGCCGGTGCTATTGACGTCGACGGCCCAGGCAGATCATGGCGGTACTGCGCAAAGAGGCGAGTCCGGCGACGAGGGCGACCAGAAGGACCAGGGCGTAGAGAACTGGGTGGCTGTGGAATTTCTGGCTGCATCTATGGAATTATGGAATTTACATGAGGGAAATGAGTGTTTTGTGTGGCCAGGGGGGAGACTTACCTTTGGGACAAAAAAAATCTGCCTGAGGATAATGCTTCACTGGCAGCTTGCTCGGATTCTACGCAATTTCATTCCACCGCACGGGAGGACAGCTCCTGCAGGCGTTTGGTCTTGCCTTTGCTGCTCACCCATCCCACTGGTGCTGAATTTCTTCCCACAAAAAAGACAGAGGTATGAGAAGAAGGAGAAGTAACACAAGCAGCTGGCTGAGGTTTAATGCGACGCGCCGCGAAGGCGAGATGGGCGCGTGTCGTAGGGGCGACCAAAAACCGGGTTTGCTGACGAAGACTCGGCTGAATGGGTCGAGCCTGGAACGAGCCTTGAGAGGGCCTTGGAAGGTGGTGCAAGGCTGGGATCGGCGTCGCGAGAGTCGCGTAGCCTGGGAGAGCCCTGGGAAGGACCTTGGTAGACGCGTCCGAGGGCTGGATTTGCCTTGATGGCACTTGTCCAAGTCACGAGGCCTAGCCCGTTTCGGACACTTTTGGTGATGAGTCGCTCTCATTGGCTAGTGAGTCATTTGGCTCTCTCATGGCCGTCGCACGTCCTTCCTTGGTCCTTCGCGTACGAGACCACGAATACTTTTAGACGATCCCCCCCCTCACAGAACGCCGCG